TCAATTTTCTCAAGCTGTAAAAAGAGAATAATAATAGTAGTCCACTCAAGCAGTTGTTCAAAGTTAAATAAAATAATATTTATGAAACGCTGAGAATAATGCTTGGCACGTGGTGTATGCTTGATAAATGCTGTGTTTGCTTTCCTGGCCTGGTTGCAACAAAATTGCTGCTATCATGGCATGAGCAGCACTGGCTTTTGAATCCACTTATGTAAGATTCTCTAAGCAGCTCTGATACAGTTTCTTCCCAGCTAGCATTCCTGCAATTCTGAAGATCCCTTTTGCTAAACTCTTACTCTGGATCCCCTGTATATACGTATATACGTAAAGAGCCCTTCCTTATATCAAGGCTCTCAAGTCTTCTAAAAGCCTGGCTTTTAGTTTGATGATGATCAGGAAGCTTCCAATAAGCCTGGGAGTCAATATTTTGTGCTGTTTGGAAATGATTAGTAAAGGAATGTCAGTTGTCATCAATGGTCGATCACAAAGTCAGAGGAGTCACACAGCATACTGACTTTTCCTGACTTCAACTATCCATTGTGCATCCCTGGGGAGAGGGGGAGAGGAGCCCTTCAGGTTCCTATGACAGCAATGAGCCATGTTATTTTGCTGGTATTTAAAACTTTAAGAAACAGATAATACATATAACAACAACAACAACTAACCCCAAACTAAACCCCACAGTAGTTTTCAGAAGACTGTGTTATTGGGTCTGTTGCCATTCCATTGCCAAGGAGACTGGACTTCAGAGAGGAACGAGGATGTGCTTTTCCAATTTAAAGTCTCTATTCATAGGTTTTGGACTGTTGGGAAGCTGCCCTTTCATTTAAATGTGTGGTCCCTGTTATTTACTTTGGCTCATAACTCATAACAGAAAAGGAAGCGGTATCTAGCAAAGTCAAGAACAAAGTTTAGCCTATTTCTTAATCCATTTATTTAAAGTCGTGATATTGGAAAAGATACCTGGAAAAAGAGAATCATGGAACAATTTTCCAGCTCACATGAAACTTAGTTAGCTATGTTGCCACCTAGTGGTCCTTCTGTGAACTTCACTGATGGGTTGTCAAATGGACATCTTCACACTAATAACTTACTAACTTTCTTTCCAATGTGACTTTCCAATTTTAGCACATCCGATGGGAGTTTTTGAATTCTATAATCATTGGCAGGAGAGATGTCTTGATAAAAAGGCAGAGTGGCTGCGTGGAGAGGGTTGATATTTGAGAACTCTTGATGCTATATTGGGATGCTCGTGGTAGACCATGGAAGGGTGAAGGTTTTTGTTTTGTTTTGAATCACTATTGCTGCATTCCTGGCAGAAGTAATTTAAAAATATTCTTGAGATTTCTTGGCACAATAGTGTACCTACAGTGTATTATAAGTGTACCTACAGTGTATTATAACATATATGGGCTCTGGTTTATTTTTCTGTGTGTTTTAAAAGTGATTTGCCTGATGTAAACTGCAGAGGTTGTTTTCTCTCAGACCCGTTTTACAATGTGTGCAGCTACTGGTGTCTCTGCTTGTGTTCTAACTCTTGCTTTTAAATTTCATCTGATTTTCCTGTGAGTTGCTCCAAGTATGCCTTATTTAGTGGTCAGTGATGTGGGCAGAGATTTCAATTAAACCCCCAGGAGCCATTGAGCTGTATGTAGTCTGGATATCATAGCCCAGCCAGTTTTCAGTCCTCTAGTACTACCTTTTCCTTTTCTTTCTTGTAGCCCAGGAAGGCCTACAACTCTTGATCCTCTTGCCTTCACCTTCCTCGTGCTGGGACTACAGGCAGATGGCATTGTGCACAGCTTTGGGCTTTTCTTTCCGTGGCTCTCTCTTGGGTCCCCATGTCAACATTCACACATACCAGGAGTGTGTGGTGAGCTAGTCAGAAGCATGGAAGTTTTGCTTCATTCTCAGAATACCTCTCCATCCAATTTCATCTCTGGTTGGTTCACTCCTTTCCTTAGCTCTTAGCAAGCCAGACAAGAGGCATCTGTCTTCTATTTGTTTCCTAGTGGCTTGCCCTTGTTGCTTATAGAGCATTTGGTTTCCTCCTCTTCAACTCAAATCTACCTCATTGGAAGCCATTAAAAAAATGTAGGGCTGGAGGTATAGCACAGTGGTAGAATGCATACTTAGTATGCAATAGGCCTGAGCTCCGTCTCCTGCACTGAAAAAAGGCAATGTAGAGACAAAATTAGATTGAAGATGTTAAAGAGCTGTTGGAAGGTTCTATGATTATGATGAACCCTGAAGTTTCAGCTTCTTTTGCTTCCTGGTAAATCTGCAGATGGGATGTGACCCAGCTACGAGGACAGCCCAGTATCCCAGGTTATTCCAAGCACTTTCCAAGTTTGGGCAGTTTCCAACAGCAGCAGGGTTCTAAGTCATGCATGCAACAGGCAGCACGAAGCCCATAGGGCAGAGGGGAAGGCAGATGCACTCAGACCACGAGTCTGGTGGATCTGTCCACTGACAGCGGTGTCCCTGTCAGCAACCAGGGCTCAAGGAAAATCCCCAGAGGAGACAGAAGGCAGAAAGTATTAGGTAAGTGTTACTTCTTAGGGCTTCAAGCCTAGGCACCCAGGTTCTAAACAATTGGGGTTAGATAAAGAAAGGCAGCTATAGGACTGGAGTATAACCCAGGATTAGAGACTGAGGTAGGAAAAGTTTGGGGCTCATGTAGGTTGCCTGGAAATGGCCTAGACCACCCTCACCTGACTGGGAACTGCCCAGGCCCCTCCCCACTTGTTTATTATTGGGTGGGAATCTCCTGGGTCTGCCCTCTCATGGGTTAGTGTAGGTTTTGAAAGCATCTGAAGAGCAGAAACATGCTCTCTCTGCCAGCAGACTCTACCTGTGCTCCCTTTGTATTTTCTTTCCTGACTTTTAATAAACTCCCTTTACACCCACATGTTCTGCTTGGATTCTTCCATTTGGAGCACAAGGACCAAGATTGTCTGAGAACAACAATCACCTATAACAAGACTACTGGGGCTTGTGCAGAGGTCAGTGAAGACATTCAGCCCCTGAAAAATTGATTATGTGATCCAGCTAGCAGAATGATGTAATTCTAACACTTCACATACTCCAATGCCAGAAGATGGAACTGGACCTCTGGTATAATCCTCTGAAGGCATGACTGGATCCACAACCTGTGGACTGCTCTTTACCAGCTGGTCAACCAGTAAGGAGAAGCAGTGAGTGCTGTTTCCTATCTGTACACAGAACTGGAAGGAGAAGACCCTTAAGAAACAGGCCAGATAATGGCAGCATCTGAAAGGAGATTTCAGTAAAACTCTCAAGGCTGGGACAAGTAGCTTATCCAAGCTTGGAGAGCTCTGCCTAAAGTCAAAGAGGGGCTTACTGTTGAAGGTTCAGTGTTATTTGAAAAAAAGCAAAGCAGCTGAGAACCTAGAGAGACTATTAGTTAGGAATTGCTTGAAGATGAGGATTTAAGGGAAGAACTCTATGGGAAAATACTCAGAAATTAGATGTAAAGCTCAAGGCAGAAGTAGACAATAGTGTAAATCTTCTAGAAGAGACTTGGGAGTGGTAATAATAATAACAAATCAGGAAGGTGATTCTTTTATAAAGGGAATATGATATTACCAAAGCATGTATTGCTCACCCACATATGTAGTGCTCGCTTAGAAGAATATGAAGATGTGACTGTGCCTTAATTTTGGATGTCTGAGGAGTATTGATTGGCTTAATGAGGTTACTATATAGTAGTATGGAGTTTTCCTCCCCCCGACCCAAAAGTTACATGAGGTACTGAAGTCAGGGTCTTTTGGTCTAAGAACACATTTAGCAGTATTCTTTTCTAAGGTGGCAGTTTTGATCAAAAGCAGAAGCACGTATGTAGAAAGCTGAGAGGTGCATGCTGAGACACTGCCGTCCTCCCTGCCTCCACCAGGGGAAATGAGGAGTCACCAAGGACAGCCTGCTCTCTTCCTCTCTAGCCTTTATTTCACTGAGCTGGAAATTTTCATTTAGTACTTGAGAACTTTATTTCAGTAAATGAAGAAAAATAGCTGCAGTAGGTTTAACAGTTCACAAAGAGAAAATAGAGAACACTGGAGAATCCACAAAGAGGCATCTGAGTAAGGAGCTGAAATCATTTCCAGGACATCCCCATCCACCAAAGAAACCCACCGGGACCAGGCAGAGACACGCAGTACAGAAACCACACACTGAGTGCTCACATCCGTGTGTGCTGAGGGCTCTCACACCCTTCACGGGTGTTTGGAGCACATCCTCTTAACTAGAGTTAATTTTCTGAAATCCTTGTGACCCTCCAACTTGTCTGTCACATTCTTGAGGAATTCAGAACTGTCAGGAGCATTCTGTGTCCTTGTGGCTACTGTGATTTTCAAGGCTCTTCTGTAGTCACGGTGACCATTCTTCCGTCTTCACTTTTGATTGACTAGTGGATTGTGCTACCCTGTGCACTGCCCTCTGGCATTTCTACAGGACACAATTTCATTTACACAAAAGTGGAAATGATGTCCTATTCAAGTTACAGTTAGTACCTCCATGTCCCCAAGGAAGTAACCATTTACAAAGGATGTTTTGCTTCTTAGACTCAGGGTTGTAAAGATATCATTTTCAATTTTTGATTCTTGTAAAAGTAACTATAGTAGGAACCTCTACTCCCATTGCCCACATGGGGGCAGGAAATGTTTTGCTGTTTTTCCTTTCTCCCCACCTTTATCCTGTTATAATAAATTTTTTCCTAATAAACTTTATTTTTACTACAAAAAAGTAACTAGATTAGCATGTTGTAGGCAAATAGTATTAAGCTAAAGTACATTGCAGCCACCAGACATTTTTCTTCTTGTAGTGTATGTCTGTATTACAGATTGCGAATTCTGCAAGTAATATTAACAAAAAGAAATTGCTTCTCTTAAACATTTTCTGCTGGATAAAGACTATTTGAAAAGCTACTGGACTCTGCACAGCATTTAGGGAAAGTTGTGAAGATCTTGCATGAAGGATGTTCAGCCCAGCCTGGCACAGCCATTTTGGATGTTCAATTTCAAACTCTAAACAGAAACAGAGGGTTAAAAATAAGTTGTTTTCTATAAAACTCATACACATATATTTCATTTATTCATAGCTTCTAATTGGAATAACCTTTCTAGATTCTGTCATACCTTTGCTCAGACTTTCTTTTGGATCTTCTTAGCCATGGTTAACTGTGTGCTTATAAAAATGAACAGTTCTACACAAAATGAAGAAAATAATTTTGTTTTCCAGTGCAAGGGGCCAAACCATTTGCTTGCTCTAAGGAGTGTTTCCACTCTCGACTCTATATGGAATAACTTTGTAATTGTGGAGTGGAAGGATCATCACAAAATGTCCTGCTTTGTCCACCAGTGTATGTGCACCACACAGGATTTCGCGGAAGAATATTTTGTGGGGGAAACCAGTACCCAGTACATTGTGGGGGAAGCCAGTACCCAGTACATTGTGGGAACTCAACAAAAATGTATGAAGGAAGGAAAGAAAACAAAAACTCAGAAATGTAGCCAAATGATAGGCATTTTGCCTCCTTTTGACAAAAGGCATAATTTTTTCCACAAACTTTCCAATATAGGCACGTAATTCAAATGCAAATTCACCCTCTACCTACAGTCATTTATTATTTTGGTAAACAAAACCTTTAGTAAAGCAATCACAACAAACAATGTTCTTTTTCTGTGATTACATCCTTGAAAATACTTTAAGAGAACCCAACGCATGGGTATATATATGCTGGCCAATAAAAGTCTGAGAGAAAATTATCATTTTTGTTATTTGTTAAATATAATGAGAATATGACACTGTTGAATTCTAACTTGCTCCTTTGGTCAATTTTTAAAGTTTTGGATTCAATCCTGCTCTTCACAATTCTGTTAGAAATTTCAGCATATCAGTGGAAACAATTTTCAGTATCTTGTTCTTTTGATAAGTATTGAGGACAACAGTCAACAGTAAAGAACAGGAAAGGAATAAAAAAAGGCAGAACTCTGTCACAGAGCCTTACCATTTTGGCACTTTGATTGGGATCTGAAATTCCTCTTGGATCTTTACTTGCAGATTTCTATAAAAGTAAATTATGTTGCATCAAGAACTGCACCAGGTATTGCATGTGCACACAAACACATGAGCTCATATGTGCAAGCCACTTCTTGCTCCACATAAAAAATCCAAGACAGTTTATAAATCCAGCAAGGAATGGGGAGCCCGTGTATAAAGTTTTGATTAGATAAAGTCTTATCAAAAACCATTAATCTATAAAACTTGTGACTCTTTCCTAGAATATATTAGGCAAGAGATTTTCGAACTTTTTGTAAGCATTAGATCTTTCATTCAGACACTATTTCTACTGGGATCCCAGAAAAGCCTATCTTCAAAGATAGGCTCCAAGTGTTCCATGGGGAATGCAGCACAGTTCCAGATCCTTTTCTGTGCTAGAAGATTCTGAAGAATCATGGATTGAAAACTATTCTAATCACAACCTTACAGTTATCTGTAAAGAAAGCTTCATGAGAATTGCTGATTTCAAAATGCAGAGATAAGAACCATGGTGTATACAGCACATCATTCTGGGTGAGAAGTGCTCCACCATGAGACTTTGAAGATGTCATTTCTCAATCCCTCTCTCTCTCTCTCTCTCTCTCTCCCCCTCTCTCTCTCCTTGCTTAACTGAGCATTCCAGAGCCTGGCTTTCATCGTCTGGAGTTCATTAAGGCCTCAGTAAAAACCATCATCATGGTTTTGGCCCTTAGATCTGGGTCCAGGACTGCAAACGACACTAGTGAGGTATTTATCTCAGGAGCAGAATTTAAGGGGTGAAAACAAGCTCAGTAATGACAATAAATAGTACATTAATGTGGTAGTTTAAAAAATCAAAATTAAGTGACAAGAATTCATGATGAGAAAAAAAGCTATCATTTAAAACAAAGCCAGGAAAGGGCTATATTAGAATTTGAGTGGTTCGTCTTACTCTCCTCACCCCAACATCTGTCCTGCCTTGAAGAAGTATGTCTCTATACCAGAGGGTCAATGAAATGGACACAGACTACTACGACCAAGAGAAGGGAACAGAGACATACCGGTGTGATGTAGTGAGGACTTGAAAAACTGGATGGAAGGCTCTCCAAAGACTCTGCAGTTCTCTGCTAATGAAAATGTATATTATTAACCTGTAATTAGAAGTCAAGAAATTATGACTATTTCCCAAGCCCACAGAACTTCCTAGTAAATGCACAAACACTGAAACACATAGAAAAATTACTGGTCCTAGATTGCTATCTTCGAGTCTAAGGCTTGTCTGCAAAGCTGACATAGGCAGGGAGTTTCTTCACATATTGAGATACACAAGTAGCACTAGGTGGCCTGCCTCCTCCAAATCTTAATAGCTCTAATTGTCTGCATCCTGGAATTCCACAGCCTCCAGACCTGCCTTTTAAAACACAGACACACTTGGCTAAAGCTACCCTCTTTAAAAGTGCTTTGTGTTAACTCCCTAGGAGAGGGTAAAATAACTAAAGGACATGGTCCAGTGAAAATGACCTGAGAAAGGCACTGGCTGCTAGAGAAAAAATACGAGGCATCATTAAGGTAACAGGGAAGGAACACCGAAGATACCTTCCCCAACCACAATTTTCCTGAGGACTTTAATGAGGGAACTTCAGTGTCAAACAAGTATTAGTTAAGTCGTTATTATCCACGTAATTCTACACCAAGTAATATAAAAACTCTAAATGTGAGATTTGAGGGCCCCAACATTCCCATAAAATCTGTGTTTATAAAACTATATATCTCAGTGTATACACATTCATTCTGATAGTCAACAAATATTTATCAAGTGTTTCTTCTTGATGCACCTCATTTAACCCAAAAAACCAAAGACCTTAAGGAGTTTGCAATCTTAAACACAACAAGTATGTCACAGCTCTCCTTGAACCTCTGACTGGCTTCCACCCTTGATCACATCATCACCTACCTTCACCAGACACCCTGCTCTGGGAATGCGCCTAATTTGCATATTAGAGAAACTGGAATCAGGAAAGCAACTGTAATGGCGCTTGTGGCACTGCAGATAATTAACACATATTCAGTGTAAATACACACCAAGTGGTGGGCTGAGTTCATTGACATACACTTTCTCACTTAAACCTTGAGGCAAATACGAGCATCATGACAGAAATTCTCAGGTTAAGCCTAAGAAATTATTATATGATATGTTCTGTTTATAAGCGTGGACAATTAAGACTTATTTTTAGCTTTGGGGGATTACTGATGGCGTTATAAAATATACAAATGGATAAAGATGACAAGAAGTCATCATATAACAAAGGAAAGAACAATTGTTCACCTCTGAATAGTCTACATTAAGTGACTTCTTTCCATTACTCACCTCAGTAGCACACACACAAGTACATTTTTAATTAACTATTGCAAATGAAAGTTTCTTACATGTAGGGGATGAACATCTGGGGAAACTGGCTCAGTCCTTGTCTGTTGCTCATCACCAAAGTATCCTTTATTCTCCACTCCCTGTATATCTCTAGGAGGGCTTTCAGGAAGGAAATAGCACATGTTGACATGTTGACTAATATGGGATAAGACTGCAGTTAAAATTAAGTCATATAAAACATTTTAAAATACTAACCAATACATCACTATGCTTGAAAGATCTTTGGATGATTTCAATTCACAGCAAAGTGCACTGAGGTAAATGTTGGATACAAGCAAACACGTAAAAGGTGGATTTGATACTATTTTATCTGCTGCTTAGTAAGAGACATTCCTCTATTGGGTAACTTCTATGGTGGCCACAACACTTATATATTCTTAGTAAAAGTCCCATTCAACACAGAAAATGTAAACATACCTCTGAACTCGTCTCAACTTAATACATTTTTGGTAACGAATTAATAATGTGACAATTCCAACACCAATAATCACCATGACAAGTACAACGACCATGATGGAAACACCTGCAGCATTAAAACATAGACTTCAGCCAGGACATCAACTTTAGAACAATGGAATATTAACAGTAATGGAGCTCTTATAGATATAACCCTATTTCTTTTCTAAAGAACCTTAATTCGCCTTGCCCCAATTTTAAGCATAAACTAAAACATTATAAAAATTACCATCTGTATTAGTAACTGACATTAAACCCACAATTCTATTATACTGAAAGTGAACCACAATCAGCAAGAAAACTTTTTGTCGTTAGTTATTAAATAACTTTTAAAAAGCCCCTTTTGTTGTGTGTTTTCAGAAGACATAGGCAATATTTAGGTAGAAGAGATTGTATGAATTCTAAAGGGCAATTGTAAATCCAATTCGAGTCTCCAACATGAAATAGTAAAAAGAGGACCATAAAAAAAAAACCCATGTAGAACCACACCAAATATATATCAGACAGGAAGAAAACTTTCTTACTGGGCAGGCTTTTGAAACATGTGAGATACTATATTCTAGGATGCTTACTGGTAAGATTTAAGGTTTCTTCCAAGTCGGTAAGTATCTGTTCTTCCTCACACTGGCACTTGAGTTCATGGCCACCCACCTGGAAGAACAGTCAGTCATATAATTTCATAAAACAACTGATATATGTTATGTTTCGCACCCCATTTAGGTTAATGCTAGCTCTACACACCACACACACACACATTTTTAAAGTAATGAAATAAAGTGTATACCAAAATCAATATGAATAAAATAATTAAACAAAATCTGAGAAGTAACCATCTCTGAAGAAATCCTTTGAGCCAGAGAATGATAACTACATATTCATGCAGATGGACTAGACAGTATGACTTATCTTTCCAGAAAGCATCCATATCCGAAAATGAATAGCCTCTGCTGTGGTTGCACAAATTATAGCCAAAGCGTAGGGTGTAAGTTTAGTAATAATGAGATAACACTGACATGGGCAAAAGGAGTGACAGAATATTTAGTTCATCAAAGATCAATGTGTAATGGTAAGAGAACACACACTGGATTCATCAATTTTTATTGACACATGAAAAAGGGTATCTAAAATACATAGCTGATTTTAAAAACCAGCCTACTCACACACGAGTTCAAAAATAAAAGCTTATGTAAATAAATGGATGGTAAGAAACTAATTTTACAAGCAATGAAATCTTACAGAATTTTCATCGCACTGAGAAGGGCAGTTGGTTGCATTGTAGACCTTTTCCATTTTTATACATTCACCGTTGCTGCACACCTAGAAGTGAAGCAACCAACATGGATTAGAATGACTTATAATTTATGTGACATTGCAACTTCACATAATTACATGTGAAGTTTTGCATTCCATTTTATGTAGTATAATTAAAATGTATGTGATTTTTCTCCATTGTGAAATCCCGTAAATAGAACCTGTGGATGGAGAAATCTTCCATAGATGATTGGTGAACGTATTGTATGTTATAAACAAACTCATTAACTAGTAACCTGTTTATACCCCTATTAATCCTTTGAATGTTAATCTATCAAAACTTCTGCACTTATACTTGCAGTATTTCTATTTCCGTTGTTTCTTTTGATTAGTATGAGAATTTAAGTCTTTCAAACCATAATTGCTGGTTGAGGATTTTATTAACATCAATCTTCTTATGTCAAATACCTGGAGTGAGTTGAAACTTTATACTTGTAAAAATAATTATTATTCATTATTCAATATATTTTTACTCTTATAATAAATATATTAACCACAAATAACTAGAATTTTCTCAAAATTTAATAGATGTTGCTGCTTATAACCATTTCTCTAACACCTTCTCTCCTTATTTTAACTTCTTAAGTTAAATTCATTTCCAAGTTGGCTGAAATAGTTTGACTATATTTTTCTGAGAAATAGATGCAGTGCATACAATACCATGTCTTTTCCTTAGTCATGAGATGTGTGAGGATGTCACTCTATTGCTTTCTTGTATGAACACTAACTTGGCTGTCTATACAGCTTTAGTGTTCTGGAATTTGTGTTCTCTAAAGTTCTGTAGATGTTGCTCCATTTTCTTTTGGAGAGAAAACATTGCCGAGAAATCTTGTTGAAGAGAAACGTGACGGCTACTTGATAACTTTTCCTGTAGAAAAATGGTGACTGGTCCTCCTTTGTGTTTATACTGTGTATTTCTCACTCTTGACGTTCATGGCATGAAGATAAGTATTGGTGTGCATCTCTTTCTATGATTCTTTTCGGGTATTAAGTGAATGTTTTATATTTTTATTATTTTATTATTTCCTTAATTGTATTTTCATGCCTATGGTGTTTTCCTTCTCTATTAAAAATGTTTTGGATTTCTTAGGACTGTTTTCCCTGCATTTATTTATTTTCTTCTATTCTTTAATTTCTTTCTTAGTCTTCCATGTCTTCTATGTCTTCCATGTCTTCTTAGTCTTCTAATTTACTGATAATTTTAGTATTATCCATTTCCCTTACTGTCCAGTTTACCTGTAAACTAGTAACATGACATTTTAAACTTTGAAGGCAATGATTCTTCATCTTAAATGATACCATTTTTAAATCATATAATGGCTGCATTAAGTTCCGTGTCAGATGATCCCCATTATATGTCTTCTTGTTGCATCAGGAGATTCTTTGTACAAGTGATACTCATTTGTATTCTGGATATTTTGGGTACTAGGAGGTGCTGGCTCTTATTCAAACCTTTTCCTTTAGCAGTCCTTCTCTACACCATGCCTTTTAGGGAAGGGGGTCCCTACTGTGCTCATGCCAGATGGGGCAGAAGTCCTGGTTCCTCACATTGCTGACACAACAGAGTGGCAATGGGGGAATTCTCTACCACTGAGCTCTGGTGAAAGTCCTGACTCCCCATGAGCCACCTCTACACCCCATCTGGAGGGAGGATCATTGCTACCACTGGAGTTGCAGTGGGTCTTAGCTCCCCAAATGATCTTTGCCAACACAGGTGGGGTGAGTCTGCGGTATGTTTCTCTGGCGCTTTGTCGAAGTAGAACAATTGTTTTCAAAATGTTTTGTTCAATTTTCTAACTTCTTTCCTTGTCCTTTAGCTACAGAAAGATTTTTTTGGTGCTTGTTTTGTTTGTTCCTATTGATGCTCTAAGATACAGGAAAGAAAACAAACAAAAAAACCAGGAAACCCACTGACTTGTGGTTCATTGAGACCTAGAGTCCTTAGCTCCTCTCTGCCTTTCAGAGTCTTCTTATACTTTTTAAATATATAATGACCAGAAGTTTAGCTATATTTAGCAGAAGAAGGAGAAGTACCTATACCATACCATCTGGAACCAAAAGCCCTTATATCTATTTTTAAAGTGAATTATTATTATAGTCTTCCCTAAAAAAGTACTTCAGATGTCACTGTATATCTACTAGAATGACCAGAGTCTAAAACACTGGTGTTAACAAAAGCTGGTGAGAAGGTAGAGGGATGGAGGCTTTTGTTCATTTCCTGTAGGAATGTGGAGTCGGGTCACAATTTTGGAAGACCGTTTGGTAGACTCTTAACAAACTAAATATATTTTGCCAGTATCCAGCAGGTGAACACTTGTGTCCACACTGGAGCCTGTTCATGAATATTTATAGCAGCTTTGTTCATACATGCCAAAACATGGGGACAGTCTTCTGCGCCAGTGTGTTCTTCAGTAGGGAGGCCAATGAAGAGACTGAAGTACACCAAAACAGTGGAGTGTTACTTGACCTTAAAAAGCTATGAGCTAGTAAGCTGTGAAAAGACACAGAGGAAACTCTAGTACCTATTACGAAGGAAGAGAAGCTACTCTGAGGGGCTACATACGACCTCATTCCAACTGTGTGAGATTATGGAAAAAGTAAACTGATCAGTGGTTTCCATGGCCTAGAGGAGAGAGAGGGATGAATAAGCAAGCACAGGGAATTTTTAGGACAGTGAACTATAATATGATACATGTCATTATAATTTAGTTGAAACTCATAACATTCTCATTAAAGTGAAACTTCATGGAAAACTATGTATTCTGGGAGATAATTATGTGTTAATATAGATTCATCCTTTGTTTAAAAAAAGAAAAGGTACCATTCTGGCAGGAGATGTTGCTAACAGGATAGGCAATGTATACAAAGGGGATATGGGAAATATTTTTCCTTTCTGTTTTATTTTGCTATTAACCTAAAACTTTTCTAAAAATAAAGCTTATTAAATTTCAATGTTGTGAAAGCATTTTTCTTCCTTTTTGATGTATAGCTGTTCCAGAGGGACTGACATCTATGATTTCTCACGTTGGCTGCTTTTGTTCACACTTTGAATTCTTTTATGTCTGTCGCCATTTGCTGTCTTTGCCTATCCTTACAGAATGGAGCGCTGGGCCAGATTGCTTTAAACCCATGTAGATGGACTGCCTTCAGTATTACAAACTCCACTAAAGAGTAATTTGAGATAATGTCTTACTGTGATTTTGCCATTTTTGTATGTTCAGTAAAGAGATAAATACAAAGGTTGTTTTACAGCAATTCTTCTTTGCCAGAGAATGAGATAACAAATTTGCTTCATTTCTCACCTCTTCTCTCCCCTCCTCTTTTTTGATCCCCTGTCTTCCTGTTTTCCTTTTCAATACTGCTGGTACTTTAGTGTGACTAAGGAAAAAGGAACTAGGAGATTTATGATGTGTCTTACTTGTATTCCTGTACAAAATTAAAATTTATCCAGAAAAAATACTTAGAGAATGAAATGAATTATGAATAAAATTCATAATGCTTAAAAATTGTATTTCCAAGAAAAATGAAAGAAAAACTCTTTAATTCTTGACTTGATAACCCCTCCCCAGACTATCATTTACATGCAGTGAATTCCGTCACAAGGAGTTGGATGAAGTACAACTGTGGTTGGTGTGTTTCTGGAATAGGAGAGGCTGGTTAATGAGTACAAAATTACAATTAGATAGGATGTATTATTTATAGTGTACTGTGATATAATAAGGTGACTATAATTAACCATAATTTGCTGTGTATTTCAAAATACTTAGAAGAGAAGATTTTTAATGTTCCCAACACAAATAAGTGATAAATATTTGAAATGATGGATATACTAATTACCCAGATTTGATTATCACACACTATATTCATGTATTAAAGTGTGACAATATACCTCATAAATATGTATAATTATTATCAATTAAAAATAAATGTTATAAAAACTGGAAAACAAAGTGACTAAAAAATCTTCCTCATTTTCTATGTGTTAAAACATTCATGTGATCAAAGCCAAATTTTAAGGTGCCACACATGTTCTATGAGCACTCAATCACTTTGTCCCTTAGATCGCAAATGCATACTGGTCACACAACTAGGAAAGCCCATTTGTTGAACTTTAATGATCTCTTTAATTTAATGTGTGAAATTCTCGACTACACTCTTTAAATTTTCTGTGTCTAGCATAGGTATTGACAACTTAGCACTTGCCAAGTAAATAAGTACAATAAATAAAATAAATGAAGAATATATGCCTACATTAGAGTCCCATTAATTAGAAAAAAATCATGTCTAATCTCATTAGATGTCTACTGTAGGATACTAAGCATATTTATTTGTAACAATTGCATATCATTCTGTATAACTAAAATTAAATAAAAATAATATTACAATGTTATTGCCACTCTGTTCCTCAGTAATAAAAAGAAGTTGCCAATTTATTTCCTCTATATAAGTCCCTCTGGGACCAATTACAGGGTCCAATGTTTTTGAGCAGCTGAAGCCTGGAAGTTTTAATACAATAAACAGTTTTCAACTTACCATTCCATCTCCACATTTTGTCCCAGCATCAACCAGACCAATATCTTTAGAACTGCGGCGTAGAAAGATGGTTTTGCACTGGACGGTGGCATTCTGGTGTGGGTACTTAAGGTAATAGGTCTTGTCTTCTCCAAGTAGAGATGAGTGCTGCCCTCCAGAGCAGTATATCTTCCCACATTTGAAATCTCTGAAGGAAAAGGATAATATTCTCAGACTTGGGAACAACAATAGCCCTGCAGAGACCAGGCTGGCAACAAAGTGGCCCAGCGACATTTTTGTAGATCCAGGTTTGTCAGCAGTGGCAAGGGGCCATGGCAGGTGGAGAAAGCCATTAGGCAGTTGAAGTCCTGACCCTGGGAACTGAACCCAGATGAATATAGTATATAAAGTAATCATCTTAAAAAACTTCTGTGATTCTCCCAAATCAGTATTAGTTCATGTTCACAGAAGAATGTTTTTATTAGTAATTTGAATTAGCATAACTTTAATGAGTACTCAGAGGTTTCCTTCTGATTCTTTCTTGCATAGAGCTCAACAGATGATTCTGACAGCAAGCCTGTGAGGTTGCTGCTATGACAACCTACCATCTTACAGTGCAGTTAGCAACTGAAAGTAAGGGAAGTGAAGTGACTGTACATTTTACTATTTATGTATTCACGAGAAAAGTTGAACTTGACTATATGCTTTCCCAGTTGTGGTTTTCAGCCTACATCCTGCTTTGTAGCACCCAAAAAGCTATGTGGAATGTCAGCTGACAAACCTGGAAGTATGGCTGAGTTTATGCTTATGGTAACCAGGTAGGACTTCCAAATTTTTCCACTCTCTTCAATTCAACTTCTACCTTTCTTTTTATGACTTCATTTTTTTCTTTTTCATTTTTAAACTTCATTTTCCCACTCCCTGTTTGCCTCCTGCCATGCCCTGTTTTTGACAGGATCCTTCTCCTCTTTTTCTTTCCTAAGCATGTTAATTCTTCCATCTTCATTGAGCGTCAGCTGATAAACAGGACATAAATACCAGTCACCAGTGTCAGGGATGTATCCCCTCTCTCTTCCTCCTCCCCTCTCTTCCTAATCTCTCAGAAAAAGGAGGTCAGTGGCTGTCAGAATTGAAGCCTTTCTGATTTTTCAAAATAGTCTCAGAGCACTATTTTCACAGGGCACTTACTTCTCTTCACATGGAACAAATCTGTTTTCCTTGTTTTTGCAGTAGCCAAATTTATTTCCTTTTTTATTCATTTTGTAGCAGGTGTCATGACTTTCTTTTGCTCCTAGAATGTGAAATTATATAAGAGAATAAAACAATGAAAGCATGAATATTGTAAATCACAAAATACCTTATTTCTAACCCAGTTGAACTTTCTGTATCATGTGGTATCATGTATTGATGAAGTAGATGGAACAGGTATCCTGGGAGAGATTTTAAAAGAGGAATAAACATGCATTAGCTCACATACTGAGCTAATTAGTGAATGTTGGAAGTAAGATCAGCAATAGAGGTCATATCTAAAGAGATGCCAGGTAATACCTTAGAAGAATGCCACAAATGATATTATTTCCAATCTTGCCCCCAAACTCTTACAGAACAATAATACATAAATAAAGGCTGTTGTCACTATAATTATTCACTGTTACCATCTCTCACCATCACTAAATAATTCTGAACACTGATGATCCCTAGTGGGACATTCCCCCATGAAGCAGTAGCCTTCTGCATTCTTGCAAGGAACCCCATTGAGGTGGAAATGGTCCTTTGGACACTCAGGTGAGTGGCCAGTACACACTTCGGGAAAATCACATTCATCTTTTGCTGGTCTGCACATGGACCCTTTTTTCTTCATCTGTTGAAGACAAACAAGGAGACTGAGTCATGCACACATTTAGTTAGCTAAGACTGAGCAAGGAGGCAAAAAGTTGACTCATTTATCTTAAAAAGGACTTTAGGGATGGATCAGAACTTTCTTCTACATTACATTGAGAATTATTTCATTAGCTTTTTATGGAATTTTAGGGATGATACAATGGCAATTTTGACATTTGGTATTAGAACAGACTTCGGCAGAGTTGAAATGGACATAAAATGGAGAGATGGGCAGGTGTTCCCATTTACTTTGTCTTTTCTTTATCACTTGTTCCCATCCATCACCCCCCATGAACTCACATGCTTCTAGGAACCCCTGTCTATGAAAAAGGAATCGCCATCACCAAGAAATCAGATCCCTTTACATGAGCTGGAAAAATAGCCTGGTCTTCATTGGTGGAGGGAATTGCATAGACATGTTCCTTTTCTTTGTGAATTCACTCTTCGCGAGGGGATGGGGGATGGGGGTGGAGGGGCAAAGGAATTGTCAATAAATCCTTGAGCGGCGACATTTAAATTTCTGGTCTTCTTCCCTAGGACTAATTTTTTTTAAACCAGCTAGCACACTATCGGTTTCCAATCCCAACATTGTCTCTTTTCTTTGTAGCTGACTGTTGTTGGGATATCAACTTTCCTTTCAGGTGAGGAGGTTAAATTAATTAGCAATGATTTACAGAGGGACAAGAATAGTGTTGATATGTGACTTCACTCCTAAAACACCAAGTGTGCTCACTAGCTTCTCCTCTTCCAAGACCATAGCACCACCAGATGCTCAGAAGTCAGTTCTTCTCAGAATAAGGACTGCTGTGTATTAGCAAGACTTGCCTCATTCTAGAATTAGTAGTGGATATTTGCATACAGCCAGACAGCTCTTTGGTCCTAAGTTCACCTAAACTGAAAGCAGAGAAATCTCCAAACAAAAGGTCTGACCTGACAAGATTCACAGCAATCTCCTTCTGCACAATCAAATCCTGGCTTCAGGACACATCTGTGTGCATCACAACAAGGATTAGTGCACTCCTGGAAAAAAAATTAAAAATAAACAGCATAAGTAGGTTTGCATTTTGGTTCCTGTGTGATGAGTTAGTTGCTTGTACTTCTGTGTGATCTTTGGAAGTTAAATACAAATGCAGGATCCTTGGCTATGGTATATGGACAAAGACTACTGTTTGGAGCTCTGTTTGGGATTTTTGTGTTTCTTTTTCTCTTGGCTGTTCAATACTCTGAAGCTTATGAACTCTCAGTGGCAAGACTAGAGTTCAATGTCTATGACTGTCCATTCCCTAATGGATCCTGCTGCTTCAAATGCTAAAGTTTGGTGTGAGATAACACAATTTCTAAAGACCTGATCACACCCTTTGCTCAAAATACCAAGTATTTCAAGCTGAATTTTCTTTCTTTTAATACATCATTCTGTAATATCAGCAGGTCCTACCTGCTCAAACAAAATTAAAACTGCAAAAGAAATTGTCTGCATCCATCCAGGTAAGTCACTTCATTTGTTCTAAAAAAAAGCAAGTTTCCAAAATTAAGAGCATTTTGCATTTAATCTGAGACACTTGAAGAAAAGTTCTTATATCTCTGCACAGATCATTGTTCCCTCTCTGATTATGAAGTCTGTTGCTTGCTAGCCTATTAGAACACTTTTGAGTTGTGTGGTGTCAACAGTGTAGACACAGACCAGCAGTATCAGCAGATCCCTACATCTTGGTAACAAGACAGAATCTTAGCCCCCTAAAGGGCTACTAAACCAGAGGTCATATTTTAAAAATATCTCCCAGTGGTTTACACGATTTGTTAACTTCAGTAGTAAGTTGTCTAGGATACTTACTTGTTTCACAAGCTACTAAAAGAAATAGCTTCAATGCTAGGAAAAAAGCAGATTAATAATCACTTTAAAATTTGCATCAAAGGCTTTTTCTAAATGCTCCAAAAACCAAAACTGCACTAAATATGCAAAAGGTTTGAAGGTTCTTGCTCTGTTAAGAAAGAGTTTAATAATAATGGGAATTGTCTGGCTGTGAGTAAAACTCAACTGAGTGACTATAAGAGATTTTGTAGGATGGTTATGTCCAACTGTGCACGAGAGGTCAGACTTAATGACACGTACGGTCCTTCTCACAAGATGTGCCAATTAATATATAAACCAGGAAATGGGATATTGCCATTCTCTAGCAAGACCATTATACACAACTCATGACTTCCTAAGAAGCCTTAAAATGAGGCTGCCCCAATGGCTGATTTTCAAATTGAAAAGGAGACAGTTTTAATTGATACTTTATAAGGAATATGATGGTTGGTGGGATTAACAGCTACATCCGCACCTACATTTCAGCTGAGCATAGACTTTGTAATTTAAAGACAACATCCTTTGCAAATACCTGGATAGGGCCACAATCACACTCTTCTCCCTCATCCGCCTTCTTGTTGCCACAAAATGGGAAATCAGTGAAATTGGTAGGAAAAGGAATATTGAGCATGCATGTTGGCTTGTAATCCTTCTGGTATTGCTCGTACTGGGTCTGGCTGCATTTACTGAATTTTAGTGCAGGGATGCTAGAAACAGGACGAGATAGAAATAAAGATTTATCATAGTAATGCATCGTAGTACAGCAGCTGTGAAAGTTTTATGAAGAATTTAGAAAGAACAAATATAAATGTAAACTGTGATAGTGGAGTAGGAGCTGGGTTCCTTATTATTGAAATAACTTTCTGAAACACAACTCACATATGTTATTTCAATAACGAGATTCCGGCTATTCATCCTTCAACAAATCCTCCTAGAATTTAGACTGGTTGTCTATGCTTGCTGCATCCATATCCCTTTTAATGTGGCCCTCTTGAAATAATCTTATAATACTGTACATCAATGTTTACCATCTCTGCAAGATGACAAATTTCATAAGGCAAGGGATGTCTCTGTGCTCAATTTTTTTAAAATAATCACTAGCTAACACAATGCCAGCACAGAATAGTTTCTAAAAATGTTTGTTGAAACAAACTGTTTGATAACCTCATACTATCCCTAGGAATGCTAAATACTTCTTTCTCAAATTGAAATTCACCTTCCTTCTATCTTCCTTTTCTTTGACTCCCTTGACATCATTTACACAATGATTGAATACAGAAGAGCATTTAGACACTTGATTCCATATCATAGGGGTGGTGGCACTCTGCAAGCAGGCAGATAATTATGTAATGTTAGATATCAGCTTCTGAGTTCTCACTCCATGTCAGCTGCTGTGTTTGGGTACTTTACTACTTTAATTCAATTTGTGGAGGCACTGATTATCATCAACAGAGCAGTTTCTTGCTATACAAAATGTATCTTCCATAAAGGAGTCCAAAGATGTGCAAAATAGGAACTGACCACAAGATAATTCACAGTTGGACATTCATTCATTGTGTGACTACTTATGGAAGACCTAACATGTGCCTGGGACTTTTCTAGACAATAGTAATATAAGAGATGAAAACAGACAAGATCCTCGTTTTCTACTGGAAAAGTAACCTAATAGGCAAACTAAATGTGTAAAACATAAGTACAAAAATCAGAAACCAAACAAAACAAAGGGGAAGGAGGTGGAAAATGTCAGAATATGTGTGTGATGAAACTGGATTGAAAAGTTTCAGGTGGCCAGGGAAGGCTTTGCTGAGAATGACATTTGGATAAAGATGTGGGGGGGGGGGGAGAAATTATAGCTTATAGCAGAGATGGCAAACCAAAGAAGGTAGAATCTATTTCTCCCCTAAGTATCTTGGTAGAGATTGATAGTAATTGAACATAATGTACTTTTATGATGTACACAGATAGAGTTTTAGGATGTCTTTCAGTGTATCACTAGAAAAAGACATTGCCCATTTGAAAAAATTCATCTCTAATTGGGAAACTCCTCATTTTGCCTGATTTTATAATAAACTTTCCAGGAAATTCCACTGAATAACAATGTATCCCTAAAATAATGGAATTGACCTGACTCCTACTCCCCATATATATAAAGGTATTCTCTATAGTATTCAAGTCTCACCTTCCACCACGATCCATCACACATTTACCCAAAGGACAGGTGCATGGGAATTCATCATGATGCATTCCGAGGTTATGCCCCAGCTGATGTGCCATTCTGTTTGCAACTATATTTATGTCAGGTAAAAGATCCTGATAAAAAAGAAATGCTCATTAAAAATTTATAAAAACACACTGTAGTACATAGCACTTTGAGTAGTGGTTGAAAGAGCTTGCTTCTAGCCCTTAGTTAACTAGTACTTATTTAATAGGTCATAGACTTAATTATCTTCCTCCCTTGCACCTTAATTTCTTTCTACAATGAAGTTGGAAAAATGACTTTTTAAATATCCTTAGCTCCAAAATTTTGAAACTTGTTTTTGTGTAGAGCACAGTAACACTCATTCTATTCACCAACTCATTCTTACAAAAATTAAAAACTATTAACTAATGCTATTATAGTCTGAATGCTTGGTTCCCTCTAAAATTGATATTTTGAAGCCCTAACCCATAAGATTGGAGGTGATTAGGTTATGGGTGCAAAAGCTCTTATAAATCAAATTAGTGCCCTATAAAAGAGGTACAAGAATGACCTTACCCCTTACCCCTTCTTGCACAGTGAGAAGGTGCAAACCCTGAGCCAGAAAGCGGACCCTCACCAGACATTAAATCCAATAGTGTGTTGACTTTGGACTTCTCAGTTTTCAGAATTATTGTAAGCAACTTCTGTTTATGGTACTTTGTTTTAGTAGCCCAAATTGAGTAAAACAAATGCCTTATACAGCACAATAAATATTATTGATTATTTTGTCTATACTAAATGTACAAAGGGGACACACATAAAAACATTTGATGTTTTTATAGTTTCAGACTGCACAGCAATGCTGTACAATCCTCTGTAGGGAGTTTTGCAATGATGAAAACCTGAAGGTCAGAGACCTAATATTCATGCTGGATTTGGTTGTTACCTTAGCTCACAGTTTTAAATTCATGTATCAATTCCTATAGAAATGAAAAAATCTAGAGAGAATAGGCTATTAAATCACTGCAAAGCTGACAGAACACCTTTAATTTATTCATTTCATTTTGTTCATATGAAGTTGAAAATGTTTCGTGGGCTGGTTAAAATATCACGATTGGTATAGAAACAGGCTGTATCAAGGTAGATTGATTCTATCACACAAAACTTATGTTACTGAAATACCAAAGGCAAACATGCTGGCATAAAAGTTGCTGTATAATAAATAGGTCATGCAGCCATTTAAATAAGTGCTAGCTTTTAAGTCTGGGGTCTTAATAAGACTGGGCTGGGTCTTATTAACAACTAGGCAAAGACATGAAGGAACTAAATAAAAATCTTCATGCTTTCAAAAGTCTGCCAGACAGGGTTATTTGGACATCATTTCTAGAAACTTCAAAACTTGTAAAAGAGGCAGACAGACAAGGAGAGAAAATAGTTCATAAGTCTTATGCTTCCTGAACATGAATTTACAAGGGTGTCTTGAATTGATACATTCAGTGATTTATGTATTTTCTTGTCAGCACAAGAGCAATTACCTTTACTTGCTAAATAAGCTATCAAGTTTGTGAACATTACTTGTCTGTATAAATAATTATATTTAATATGCAAAAGAATTTCCTAATTACTGTATGTTAAGCTATATATGGTGTTCTTTTGAACTCTGAACTACACTGGTTAATTTTTATTATTCATCTATATTTTTTAATAAAACACTTTTCTTGCTTAATAAAGGGAATAAGTCTTTTGTTTACATATCTTGGGAATATATGTGGTCTTCTCAATAGGACACAGAAAATAAAGAAATTTAATCCAAATATTTTTACTAAGTAGTATAAGTAAAATATAGCCCACCTTAACAATACTGGAGGAATAATAGGGCAGGCACAGTCCTCCTGGGTAAGAAATTCCTTGTGCATGGGTGTACAGCCACTTCCCACTATAAACAAGATGCAAATACAGGTTTCAATCTGAATTAAGTTTAATTAACACAAAGATCAAACTGCAGTGAGCTACCACAAGTGTGATGCCTGTGCTTGTGAAAGTGTCTTCCCACTTTTGAAATTATGGAATCAAGGATGCCCTTATGGAATCCAGGATGACCTTAGTTGATATTAAACTCATTTTAAACAAGAGGAACTGAAAAAGCCAATGAAGTATTGAACTGAAAAACATTAAGTGAGAATTTCATTTTTCTAGACTTTTGTCTCCCTGCACTCAGCTCTGGATAACACCACTTAAATGACAAAAGACCAATTAATGAATTAAATTTTAAAGTGTTGGAGGGGCAGGCATGGTGGCTCACACCTGTAATCCGAGCACTTGGGAAAACTGAGGAAGGAGGATTGTGAGTTTGAGGCCAGACTGGGCAATATAGTGAGGCCCTATCTCAAAATAAACAAACAAAGAAACTAAAAAAAAAAGTAAAAGAAAGAAGTGTTCTTGGGGACAATGAAATACAGTGAATGTACTCGATGCCACAATCAACTACAGTTGAAAACCTTAAAACTTTTAGTGAACCATAAAAAGTCAGAGAGGATTTGATATCTATAGACTTTTCATGTAAAAAGAGGACTATTCCCGGATTCCCTAAAAAGACAAATGATGTATATAATCTAGGGATCCAAATTTGATTTGACACCAGAACAGTTTTTACAGTTGAGTCATTGTAAATAGAGCTTTCATGGACTGGAAGACAGCACCTAGAACATCGTAGGATTCAAATACAAAAATGTGGCTAGGTAAGATGACCCCTTGCAGTAGTTGACTTTTTTGATCTAGAAAACACACCACTTCTTCCTTCACTAGTGAAATGTTTCTATCTCTACATTCTAAGTGTTGGTATTTACTATGTATCTGGGAGGAGTTTAGAACTCTGGTCTTCCCAGATGCTGGTGATCTTGGAAGAACACCATGAATGATGAAGCAGCAGGGAAAGGATGGTCTAGAGGCTGGCTTCTCTTGGTCACTTAAGTGCAAAAGCAGCACCATGGCAACACCATATATACTTTTACGACTTCTAACTCTACATAGGAGAACTCACACAAGGAACCCAACATATAAAAGTCCCAAATATCATGCCCACTTGGACACCTAGTACTATTTGCCCCCCCGCCCCTTGCAGATATTCTGTTGATAAGCAAAGCTACTTGTCAGAGTAAAAGAAATTCTACTAAAGAAAAAGGATGTTCATCTATACCTATTTACGTATTTCAGGACCTATGTATAAAGTATTTTAAAATACATGTACAAAGAGAGGATTCAAGGTCAATCTTTCCAACTATGAAGCTTGTGATGTTTGACAACCCTCATCCCCCCAAAATTTAGGCATGATAGTGCACAAATATCCAGGCACAATAGCCAAACACGACTGCACCACTGGAGATATTTGCTATAGGCCATCCAAATATGAAAACCAAGAATGATATTTTTTTGGCAATCCAGTTCATGCTTATCAATCTGCCAAAGGACTAGACCTGACCTCTGATTGTAGACTTTGGAAGTTCCATGTTTGTGAGACCAGCCTGAAAGCTGATATCTAGATAATACCAGAAAGAACAGTAGGAAGCTGTGTTTGCAACCTCCAGAGATAAGGTGACACTGCAGGTAAATAAAATAGATTAAATGGGTGCTAATCCAACATGGTGGCTATAGGGACATTAGAAGAGATGATGAAAGATGCCATTGCTCCAAACTAGTTCCTGCATGATTTTTAACACTCATTAGGAGAACAGGATTATGCACTCATAAGGTTCAATTAAACTCAGTTCCACAACTCCTTATCATTTTCTCTTATGCTAAGAATTATGTTAGATTTTTAAATAACAAAAATAATAAAATGTGCATTTTAAAGGAATTAATGATTGAGTAGGCAATCTAAACTTTTACTTAAAATATTGAAGCTGTGGCAGGTATAGCTTACCAGGTTAGTTGCCTGTCACCAGTACAGTAAAGAAGATAGTCTTGAAGGATGGTCACTGACTGGACACACTTTGATGAGGAAAGTGCCCAGAGAGTGAGATACTTCCCAGAAAGGCAATTTTGGTAGACTACTGGAATGGCTACAGCAGGGGTAGAAGAGGGAAGCTGGCACTGCATGTTCAGAGCTGATATACATGGATTCTCAAAGCACTTTGCTTACCCAATGACATTTTTAAGTCTGTCCAGAAATATGTGTATAGTCATGTTTTTCAATGTCATAATGAAAGACTATTAAATAGTCCATTTGGAAATTACCAGTGTAACTAGAAATAACATTTTTCCTTGTGTATTATCCTAAATCAATTGTTTTTAAAAGTATTTTTGTTGTTCACTCATTCTGCTTTCTTTTTTAATAGTCTACTGATGATGTCCAGGAAAATAGAGCAATCACATACCTCAGTAACAAAACATGATCAAAATTCTTCTTTTTCTTAAGGATTGTTTCTTGCCACGTTGAAAAATGCAATAAGGTAGTTTCTATATTTGAAGCTATTTCTATTTTGTCTCCATTTGTCCATATTTCAATGCCAACCAATGTCACATGAATGTTCAAGGTTTTATAAATCTGTTCAAAAAAATCACAGTCAAGTTGCTAGAAGGATCCTTCATTATAACTATATTCCTTTATATTTCCCAAAAAAACAGCAATTCTAACTTGTTAAGTACATTAAGAAAATAGCACAGTCCTCATTTTATAAATTGAGATATCAAACTGGAATGCAGAGTGTACTGTGAATATACTTGGTGACTATATTCATTGGAGGAGTTTCCATGGTCAACAAAGAAACTTGATAAAAAAAAATGCCTGATTTTCCACAAGTCTCATAAGCCTTACAGAGAATGTGTCTAGAAGGGAGAACTTAAAGCTCTGAGGTTATAAATCACTTGAAAATGTGAATTTAGTGGAATGAATGGTTTTTAGCTTATTTCTCTAGTTTAAGCCAAAGATTATTTAAATGATAGATTAGAAAGTTGATGTTGGTTCTCAGAAACTTAGCTTATCCATACTTGATTTTTATCATTTTCTTTTTGGTCTGAGAAACCTACTTGGGATTGCTCAAATCATGCAGAAAGAGTTGCAGCCTAATAGCATTCCCACCTGTTTTCTAAACTGCTTTGTAAACACCTAGTTGAACTTTATTTTTATGCCAGGACAAAATAAAACAGAATTTAGCAATGCAATTAAGAGTATTTTGAGACAAAGGAGTATGCATTGCATCAACTTTATAACCCTTAACAGAACAAAGTACTAGTTGAAGAAAAGAATGATCAATAGTGAATGCTGAATTAGGGACAGAAATGGAAATGTCACCCATTTGATGTTACTAGAGAATGCAACTAGTTGTTAAGAAGTTTCACAGTCATATTATTTGCCTAATAATATCTTGTACACTTTTCTACTTCTACAAATTATGAATATACTGAATTTCATGTATTTCCATTATAACTCAACAAAGGTCAACCATAGACACAATAAATAGTATTTTTTAAAACTCTTATAAAGTAAGACATCTAGTCAAGTCATGACCTCAAAACTCACACTGGTACCTGTGATTCCCATCCTTATTCTTCTTGGCCTTGATCTTACTGTGGTAAACATTATCAGGCAGAATTTTTTAACCTAAATTTTCTGAGCCCTTTCTTTATATTCATGGATGGGCTATATGTTCATAAAACTGGGCTCACATGAAAATGGCAACAATATTTGTGATCTTACAGTGCTTTCAGTTTTAGTGAGAATAGTGAACATTCACCAGGCTAGATCAAATTCTGGGTCCTAACACACACTTTAATAAATTGAAAAATAGTTGAAATGAGACAAAACAAAGTCTAAAATTCCAATGGAATGAAAATCAGAAATCAATAATAAGATACGTAAAAATCCACACGTCAGCAAACTAAATAACACAATCTCCCTGAACACTGAATCAAAGAGAAAACCGTAAGTACAATATGTCTTTAACAGAATGATAATTAGAAGTAAAATATACCAGAATTTATAGGAAACATTTCAAGAAGTATATACATTCTTTATGATACAGCATTCACACTTATTTATGTAAGGTAAATGAACATTACGTTCATATTCATGACTACATGTAAATGTATAAAGCAGTTAGTGAAAAACTACAAAGAGGTCCAATGTCTCTCAGCTGTTGGGTCCAGTAACCTAGAAGGGTCATTCCCTCCTCCAGCATCTTCCTGTGGCACCTTTTTACCCTAGTAATATAGCTGGGGTGTCTTAGAAGTTGTTAGCAAAGAAAGAATTATGTAGAATTCACAATTTTTCATAAGATTTATGGTTCATTAAAATGTAGACAAATTAATAACCCTAATAGATTTTACTGAAATAGTCCATGTGTTCTGCATCAAATCATGAACAATACATTATAGGTTGGAAGACTTTTTGTTATACAAGGTCAAAGAGTACCAATAGTAGTGAAATTTAGGTTATATGTGATTTCTTTTTGAATCCTCTTACATTGCTTCATAAACTTTCAAAATTAAATGTAATCTACTTAGAAAACCAAAACCTCAGTGCTGTGGTTTGTTGCTATGACTTTTTCATTGGATTTTTGTTACTTAGTTCACGTGGTGAATTAGTGTGGCCTGGACTGCCTCAGTTTCAAGGTTACTGCAATAGTCCAGCAGAGATCTACCCTAAAGAATTCTTTGCATTTGAATTTTCAGATTGATTCCAATTATATCAAAACATACCATGTTGACAAAATTGACCATTCCCCAAATTCGGTTCCTTAGTTTATTGTAAGGTTTTCCATTCCTGTGATACTAGAAATACAAATGTTATATCAAAATTCATTAATAAGAGGGGTTGATTAATAAAAGTAATCAACAAAATACTTCATCCATTTTGAGATATTGCAAAGAAAATATCCAATGGAATAAAAGAAAGAGGTCTCCTTCCAGTTCCTAATCACTGCACAATCTATGGAAAGATAATTTTTGACATAAAATGGGTAGATACAACATTCTATAGGGACATGCTTAACACTGCTTTAGGATTTTCTTTCTAACTGCTTACCCCTATTTTCACACTGCATGGCATTGCATTGATTTATTTAACCAACCGGTTGTTTAGAGTCTGTTTTTTAAATCACAGGGCAGCACTTATTAAAACTCTATGGTAACCATTATGTTGCAAACAGAAGTAACTTAGCCTCCCGAGGTACTGGTGGTCACAGATTTTGAACCATACCATCACAAAGCACCTTGGAGCCAGACATGCTTCAGCAAATCAGGAAATGGCTCTGGCCTTCTTTGCTCCAGGAGAAAGCTCAGAAGGCCAAGCAACTTTGCTGCACCAGCCATTTCTGCCTTTGCTTCTGTTCTTATAACCGGTTTCCTTTTTGTATGATCAGAACCTTGCTACCAATAATCAGTTAAAAATACTTAATGACAACCAAATATTCTGTAGGGGTACATTCTTGTGGTCAAAATTTCTTTCATAATAAAAATAAATAAACATGCCTTTCCTGAATTTACCTTTTCATTGTTCTCCCATTACCTTAAATATCTAAATACTTCCAAAATATAGCATTCAGAATCTTCAATTTTCATTTACCACTGACTCAACATACTACACTCTGATTTCAACTGCCTCTATTACACTGATTTTGTTGATAACTCATAAATGCCCCCCTAATTTTCAAATGCATTGAACATTTTTTCCTCATCTTCCTGGGTATATTCTTCATATTTACTACTGACTGTTTTCTCTTTCAAGACATTATTTGACACCTTATTTTCTGTTACACACTCCAAGTGATTTATTGCTGGTTTCTCTTTTCCTAACATCCCCTTACATTCAGGAGGGTAAGCCAGTGTCACACGAGGATTTTCATGGATTGGTGGGGAGGGATTGCCTAAAATACAGTGTAGGGAAAGATCCCATCGCTGTCTCAGGAATCACAGGACTAAGACACTTTATCAGTCAGTGATTTCCAATTCAAGGGGAGCAGGAAGGGCTGGGTAGGTGTGAATTTTGCACCCTTTCTGTCAACCTTCATTCAATGATTGGCACCCACCAGGATTCAGAACAGGATTCTGTTCTGTTCTCCTCTTTCAACTTGTTAGCTCTGGGTGTGTCATCCATATTTTAAGTATGATTTCTTTCTTCCAACATTTATTATCCTTGCTTGGTATTTAGTACCAAATTTAAGTATTACAATTTTTCTCATGAAACTTTTTGAATGTATTACTCTCAAGCCTTTTCTCCTATTGCTTAAAAAGAATACTCTGAATCACGTAGAGGCAATCTATCTCTTTGTTAAATTTTTGTCTTTTTTATTAGTGTATATTAATTTACAAAGAGGTTTCACTGAGATGCATCCATAAGTATATGTAATATGCTTTGATCAAATTCACCCCTCTCTAACTCTTTCTTATCCCTCCCTTTTTTTTTTTTTACAGTTTTAATGGGTTTTAGGATTCTGTTTTATTTTTTATTTTTTTTTTTTCATTTTTCTTTTATAGGATTCTGTTTTATAAGTGCATATAAAGTTCTTGGATCACATACATTCCCCCACCATAACCCTCTCCTTTTATCCCCCTCAGTAGGTCTCCCCAAACAGTCCCCCCTTTAGTATTCATTCCACGTTTTAGGTCAAGATTCCACATAATGTGAGAAAACATGTGAATTTGTCTTTCTGAGTCTGGCTTATTTAACATGATAATTGCTAGCTCCATTCACTTTCTTGCAAATTAAATAATTTCATTCTTCTTTATAACTGAATAATACTCCCTTGTGTATATATACCACATTTTCTGTATCCATCCATTGACGGGCACCCGGGGTGATTCCATATTTTGGCTATTGTGAGCAGTACTGCTATAAACATGGGTTGGCAGGTCTCTCTTTTGTATGCTGATTTTCATTCCTTTGGATATTTGCCCAGAAGTTATATAGCAGAATCTTATAATAGTTCTAGTTTTAGTTTTTTTGGAAACTTCCATACTGATTTCCATAGTGACTGCACCAATTTATATTCCCACCAACAGCATATAAGGCTTCCCTTTTCCCCACATCCCAAGTTGATTTTTAAGAATAACCTCCCCCTTATCTTTACTGTTCTATAATTTTTCAATATTGTTACCCGGTTTATTTATTGAGAATTTTCTCTCAAATCTTACCTATCATTCAACTACCCATATTCACTGTTTATAAACTTTTTCATTCTCATTTAGCATCTATCTCCATGCTCCATAAGTGGTACTTTCCTCAACATCTCCATCCTCCAGTTTTCTGATTCTCTCTTCATTTGTGTCTAATCTCCTGATAATTTGCTCAAGGATATACGTATCACTTTTATAGGTATTAGTTTCTCAAATAAGACTGCCATTTTTCCAGGCTCTTCTGGTGTTTCCTTTGTAATTTCTACTCATTGTTATATCTTCAGTAACTTTAAACCTGTGTGTTTATTACAGAATAATTTAAATATCATTGGATAATTTATGGTTCTTTTGAGCTCATTTTCCCTTTTGTTATGTTGGTTGACTCTTCCTCATGTGATTCATTTCAAATTTGGTTATGAAAGAATCTTTACAGGGCATTTTTTTTCTTGGGCTCTCATCATTTACCCAATCTGTAACCAATTGGTGTTGAAAGCTTTGCTTGTCATACCTCAACCTGAATAAAAATATACTATAAAATCCACCTCTGTGAATGGCTCAGGCTTTGGATTTGTCAGGCAGACAGAAAAATCCCTTTATGTTTTTCAGTTTTTCAGTTTAGATGGAAACATTCTGGTTTCCGTTATAAGAATCAGGCAGCTCTTCTGGCTCTGGGGGTCATGCAGAAGATTTGTGTGCAAATGTCAGACTTTTGTTCTTAAGGGGGTTTAATTTCTCAACTCCTTCTGCCTATAGTCTATACATCTTGAGTTCCCAAGCCTTTAAATGTTACTTCTTATTCTGACAAAGGTTTCCTTATTACTTTTTAGCATTTGAAAAATTTCATCCTAACTATGGGTTGTTGACATGTTTTTAATTTTTTATGTGTTAGTCAGTATTTCCATTAGTTTTTATGGGGAAAGGGAGTCTGGTCTGGATTATTCTGCTAAATTGTGAAAAGGCCAGGTAGTCTTTTATATTGCATCTATTTTGGGAAGTTAAAAACAAAAACTTGAGGGCAGACTGGAGTTCTGTTAGAATACATTTTTTTCTAGGATAGAATCACAACTATTATTTTATATGGATAAATAAAGAGTGAAATGTGCATCTGAAAACTTACCACATATTCATCAGCAACAACAAACAGCTCAACATACTTCTCTTTATTGGTGCTCTTGAAATTTATGGAAAATTCAGTAAAGTATGTTAACATTTTCACCTTAACAATTAAGTTGAAAGAATTCTAACATTTTAAAAGTAAGAAATGTTAATATTATTGATATCACAAGGCAAAGTAAATGAGTACATCTAATAATTCAATTAATTCATATAAAACCCCATCTTATTATGAAAACATGTGGTCCTATACACCAAATTTTAATAATTTTGAAGCAACATTTCATATTTGCAACCTTTTCTTGTTTTGTCTTTCAGGCCAATTAAGAATTATAAATTATCATGAATTCAGTTTTTAATATTTAGGGTTTCTTTTTCATTTACAAATTAAATGATTCATAAGTAAGCTCATGTAAAAATCACCCATCTATAGTGGAAAGCTAAATTTGACTGATAGTACTTACCATATTCCTCTTACGCCTCCCTCTGCCTCCCAAACACCTAAATTGTAGTAGATTTAATTCCAAAGAAATGTATAAATATGGCCAATTAAAAGTCTTTTCTTTTTAGAAAACACCAAGATCAGGAAATTGTTCTAAGTTTTCAGCTTTTGGTGGAAATGACCAAGATGCATGCATATTCTCCGAGGACAAACCAAAGCAAAGTTATTTAAAGCCTGACTAAGTCCTTCTTTTGTGGGATATATTATTATTAATTCATTGGGTTGTTCAATCAAGAAATACCTGTTAGGCATCGGTATGTTTCAGAAACCATCTGGAACATGAATGCGAGAGGATAAACACATAGCCTACCAGCTAATAACTAGTAGACAGTTAAGGTAACACGTAGTGGTTATTTGAAGTCTAAAACACAGAGGACTTAGCAATCATCTCAACAGAATCTGAACTTGTTATGACCCTTAAATGGAACATATGACCTAATGAAAGGGGAAGATCTAGCTTGTTGTCAGTAACTTCCCCAACAGTGGCAGGGAAGACAAGGAAAGACAACATTTAGGATAGATTCAGAACACTGAAAATTTCACTCTTCCAATCACTTACAGCCCTAATGACTCCAATCTGTACGGAGGATTGTAGACATCCTTCTTTCATAAAGTTGATGGGACAAATCGAGTTTACTGTAGAGAATAAATACTTTTCACATAGATATAAGATGTTTGAATTTCAAATTTCAGTGAGGTATCAAATTTAGAACAGCATATATATTGCACCAGCTGGACTCATATTCTCTTTCTTAGATCATAAAGGAAATAAGAGGTGTAAAGAGGATTTAAAAAGAGTACTCACTTCCATTTTGTGGTCTTCCTTACATTTAGTATCCCTTGGAACTGTTTTCTTAGTATAATTGAGCTCTGTGCAAGAATAATTGACAGCATATGGCACCTTTGTATTATATTTGAACACCAAATGCTCTCCCTCATCAGAGTATTTCACCGGTTCAATGAGAAACCTTTGATCATTTACTCTGAAGAATCCCCTGTGGAAATTGGAACACAATGTGTATTTGAGATCAATAATTATCATATTCCATTTTATTGACTGGATTTTTTTGTGTGTGCTAGAAATTAAACCCAGGACCTTGAGCATTCTAACATTCTACCACTGAGCTACATCCCCAGGAGCTGGCTGCATAGCTCAAGCTGGTCTTGAACTTGTAATCTCCTTCCTCAGCCTCCCAAATGCTAGAATGACAGATGTTAAACACAACACCTGGCTGACTTTACCTTTCAAGAAAGGGAAACTGCAAGGTTGAGATCTCATGAGAATGCAGTTGTGTATGTTTAGGTGGTGAAGAAATGAGATAACATGAAGCTTTAGATTGAATTAATAACTTATTCTAAGTCAATTTATATGGATTTTCAGAAGTTTCACAGGCCAATTTCTGCTTTGAATACAAGTAGAGTAGTAATTTCCACATGTCTTTGTCTCAGAGATTTTGCTAAAATTTTGTGAATTTCTTTGCCTATCACACAGAGTAAATGTACGAAGGTACAAATACCACTGTAAGGTAATTTTGTCACTGGAGAAGTTCTCATTCTTGACAATGCTGGGAACTACTTATAAGGAAAGTCCTTATAAGTGAGGATAGTTGTTCTTTGTTCTTAATCCCTCTATCTCATCTCATTTGTCCCAGAGTCTAAGATCTACAGAAAACAATAAGCTTTACTTTTTACCTCTTACACTTTATTCTTAGAGACCAGAAATAACCTCATTTAGTAAAAATTTGAATTATTAAAGCTCAGTCTTATAGTAGGAATTCACAGAACTAGCAGTCAAGCGACTCAGTTCTACCAATAGCAAATTGTGCAGAAGAGAGTCGCTGATTTCAGCATGTCCTGATCTCTAACACAGAGGATGGACTCGATGATGTCTAGGAACCCTTCATCAACCCTGAGTCCCTTGATCATATTCTGAAAAAACGTCCTGCTGAGGGCTGTGCATCATGCATCTTGTTGTGAAATATGAGCATAAATCAGGAGCCTGAGCTCATACTCACAGCCGAACATACACAGAATCCCTAGCCCCATTATTTTTATATTTACCAGGGTTGGTTAAAAGAAATAAGTCAAAATATATCTTTAAAATTCATGGGAAAACTAAAAACATAGGCAGATATGTTGCCTTACCTCAAACCATTACAGGTGCTGATACTGGCAGCAGAGTCAAGTTCATGAATAATGGATCCTTGGTAAAAACAGTGATCCTAAAATAGAAGAGCTTATTAATAATAATTAATTATAAGTGCTGATACCATTAGATATTAGTATCTCTATTTTCTGTTCAGAAAGGATCACATACTTTCCATGCATTTATTTACTACATTCTTTCATTTAGAAATATTTGAGCTTGATTTAGAGGACTTTTGTCTTAATAACATGACGAAAAGCCAGGTATGTGTTCTTACCTCATAAATTAGTTTAAGTTGTGATACCAATTTTAAATATGACCCTTTTCCTTATAAATACGACTCCCTTAACCCATCTTCAAATCTTTGCTAAACTAGCCCTCTTGTGTTCATGTTATAATTTCCGCAGTTGCTTCTGAAACCAGGCCAAATTCTTGACCCTTCCTAAAATTAGATCTTGCTCCCCAACCAGTTCCCTTCATGCTTTTCTCTCTGCCTCTCTGCTTCAATCAATCTGGCAGTTTTATTACTCCTACTTGATGACTGGATTATAGTAATCCCACTCGGTGATTATCCCTCCCATCATCTCCATCTGTTCAATTAGTCTCTGTGAATGACACTTTCTGTGTCCCTCCAGGGACCTCACACTTTCACGAGATAATAATCACCCCCTGCATAAAAAAATGTTTTCTAGTTTTGTTTTGTGTTATTTTTCAGCATTGCATGTTGACTCAGGTCTTATTGGATTCTACAGTTGCTTTAAACAGAGGAAATAGCTTCTATTTGTTAAATTAAAACTTGCTTTTATCAAGTGAATAACGTTGACACTGGTTAGAAGGTCACAGACGGTATATTCTGGAAAGGAGAATAAAGGTAAAAATAGAATCTATATCCCTTAGAATAATACTCGTGATTAACACAAAAATTCTTTTTGGAGAATGAAGAGACCATGGCACTGGTGCATCAGAAGGACTGGTCAAGGAATTGCAAAAAGTCAGTTCCATGAAGGTGTTAAGGTTTTTTCATATGTTTAGATTTTATCCCTTTAACTTAACCCCAATCTCATCCAGTGCCTTATTGTTTCCTTCTTCTACTTACAACCATATTAAATGTAGAGAAATCAGCTTAGTAAAAAAATAAAAAATAAAGATGCATACATCCAGAAATGTGGTTTCTGGATTGCTTTGTAGGTAGTAATCAGCTTCCTATAGGGCTTAAAGGGTCATTTTTTCTAATATATCATCACTCAGTGAGAGCAGTCTATTCAAGACTCAGAAGAGATGAGTGATTTTTTAGGCAGTTTGTAGAACTGGAATTAGGATTCAAAATTATATCCACAAATAGCAGTTATAGAGAAGAGGTAGAGGAAGGTCTTGTAAGATACCATGATCTGAGGATGCCTGGTGAGCTCTTCTCCTTTTACGGTGTAGTATGTTTCACTGTAATTTGAAGCTAGGAACTCCCTGAAAAAGAGGGCAGTGGGGTAGTGAGATTTATTCGTTCTAAAAATCTAGCATGTAAAAGCAATTGTGTGTTAAGAAGCCTTCAGACTGACATCATAACTCAGCAAGGTCCTCTCCTGATAAGAAAAGTAGAAAAGCAACATCAAGCCCACTCAGATGAAAAGCATTTCTACCTAGATCTCACAGTTTTATAAAGGTTGTAGAAAAGTTAGAAAAAGAATCGGTAATTTTAGCAAAGCAGCATTTAAAAAAGAACTCCAGAGAAAATGTTAAGTAAAAATCTACCTAAAAGCCAAAATTAATGCAAAAGCAGGTGAAATATATATATATATATATATATATATATATATATATATATATAAAATCCTAATTTTAATCTATGATTTTAGTGCATGGTAACTGAACAGCTACATGTTTAAACAGAAGTAGCATTATTCTTTGTAATAAATTTACAAAACAGGAAAGTACAGAGGAAATTATCCTGTATCCCACAATGGAGATAATACTCTTGTCAATATTGGCATGCCGTAAGTACTTTCTGCACAAGGGATGGGAAAACTTTCTGAGTTACTGCTAGAGTTTTCCTGCTTCTACACAGTCTCCTGCATCAAACTGAACGCAGCTAGTTTTGTGTGTTTTCATTCAGGACATCGATGCCACACAGAACTGAAGCACAAAGAAGGAAGTTATTAGTTCTTGTATACCACTGCAAACTAGACTTTTAAAACTTAAAACAGAAAGTCTTGGAGCTTAAGGCTCTTGAAATGTAAGCTTAGCTTTGTGACTTTCTAACATTTGATAATGATGAGTTCAAGACAGTCATCTGTAAATTACAGACTGACAAAAGTAAAAGAGAAGCCAGGTTACACTGTCCTCAACAGGCTCATGAAGACTGCCATTTCCCTTCACGATGTCAACTTTCTGCTCAGTGGTGTGCTGCAAGTTGCTAGTGAATCACAAGAAACTTAGTGAGTTATTCCTATTTGAGTCCTCATTCCATTATCTTCACCTTTCAGTTTTCTTATATGAATTTTATAACATCCAGAGATTTTAGCTGTAATTAGTAGAAGCAATAAGGAAAAGTATGTCTGCTTCATTTCTATGGAAGCATAAATTTTTGAATTTTATTTTTGAAATCAAAGTACATCAACTTAAAAAATTAAAGAACATATATCATATGTAATGTCTAGCTTTTAATGTTGTACATAATATATATATATATATATATATATACATATATACAGTATCACTGTGCAGGGCTGTTAGACAATCACAAGTTATGCTTGCTATTACTTTAAATTTCAAAACATATACACATTGCATAATCACAATACATTTATCAGTGTTTGTGCCCTTGGTAGATTCAGTTAATCTAAGGACTAACCAAGATGGCAATTGATCACTAGTGCTTTCTTTAAATATTGAAATATGTAATATATAATAAAAATATTCAAATAGCCATAATAAACAATTTAAAGTAAGTAAGTCATAAAATTACATAGGATAAAAAGTATTATTTCTTAGATGAGAGGTATAAGTCTAAGAGTCCTATTGCACAGTATGATAACTAAAGCTAACAGCAATATATTGTTTACTTGAAATCTTTTAGCAGTAGATCTTAAGTATTCTCCCCATATAAACATGATAAGTATGTGAGTAATGCAAATAATTAATTAACTAGATTCAGTTATTCCACAATCTACACATATTTCACAACACTATGCTATACTTCATAAATGTATACACTTTGTATTTGTCCTTTAAAAATAAAATAAAATAAACACACACACAAATTGCTATTCAACCATGGTGCTCCTGAGTGAAGATGATTTAAGACTGAATGCCCATGGCCACTTCTTGATCTCACCTTCAACATAAAAAACTTCTAGAAATACTTTGAAAACCAGTTTAAAAAATACTTCCTGACTTCATCAGGCAGATTTTGAGCCTTTTTTCTACTTTGTGTATTTCATACCTTCAAACAACTCCATTCTGATGTTTAGATAGTAGGTAAAGTGAACAAAAAAATCCAGCAATTCAAAGAAAGATCCAAAAGAAGGCTGAGAAGGAAGACCAAAGGAATAAATAACAGAGAAACAAACAAAATATCAACCCAGCCATATCAATTATATCATTTTATGTTAGCATCGATGTAAACATCTCAATTTAAAAAATCAGAAATTTACCAGGAGGGGTGATGCGTGTCTACAATCCCAGCTACTTGGGAAGCAGAGGTAGGAGGATCATGGTCCAAGGCCAGCTGGGGCAAAAATGGAAGACACTATCTGAAGAAAAAAAACTAACAGTAAAAGAACTAGGGGAATGGCTTAATGGTAGAGTCCTTGCCTAACAAGTGTGAGGCCCTGAGTTTACTCTCCCATAACACACACACACACACAAACACACACCCCTGCAAACCAGAGATTGTCAGAATCTATTCAAAATGAAGAGCCAACTAAATGAGACAAATTTTAAATATAAAGACACAGATATAATGATAAAACAATGAAGAATAGCACATTATCCAAATAATGAACATATCTAGGCAAATTGCAAAGTGACTGATTCATTTACTAATGATTCCCAAACCAAGGTTATTATTTTTAAAAACTCATCACATGTTTTTGTAAGGTAGCTGCAAATAATAGAAAAACAAAATCATAAAAGTAATTCTGTTTAAAATCACCACAGACAGGAACTATCTAGAAATAAATTAAAGACATGTGAAGGCTTTACAGAATAAACACAAGACATACTTGGTTGGAATTAAAGAAGACATAAATGAACATAATCCTAAATGATTATTCAACCCCAATGTACTACCAACCACATCTCTCTCAAGTGACGTATAAATTCCATAAAAAATCCCAACCAAAAATTATAGAAAACGCTTCCTAGAATTGATGAGGTGATTCTAAACATTTACAGAAATGCAAAGGACCCTGCATTGCGATCCTGGACAAGTAATTACTTCAATGCACCTACCTTATACCAATATTGTAGGAGATGAGAAGCAATGGCCAAGAAAGACACACAGAAATTGCTCAATAAATATTAGCTTCCTTCTTGCCGATAAGGTTAAAATGTGCAGAATTTGAACATATTGTCAGTATGGTTATGGTTTTAGGCTTGTATTTCTGGACATTTGTCTAGTGCGGGATTCAGACTGGAGGGATTCTTTTTTTCTGTATTGTTTTGTTCTGTTTTAAGCTAATAAAGCAGAGTCTCAGTTCTCTAAGAGTTCCACCCTTGTGTTCCACTTAACATTTGACAAATCAGTTTAAAAAACATGTTTTTCAAATAAATTTCTTTTGTTGTACTAAATTCAAAAAGTACTGACGTTTCAAACTGTTTCTTAGAGTAATGTTTGGAGTCCAAAGAACTCCAAGTACTAAAAAAATAGGAACTAATTCAGGAACTGGAGAACAGGATCTACAGTCATCTTTAAGAGAGGAAATGGGCTAATATTTGAAGAGGAAGAATGCATGAAATACAGCTAACAATGACTTGAATTCACTTTACTGATAGTTTATACAAGACCTTGGCTGTCACAGACAACTAAATCTATAAGGTATTAAATTATAGAACAACTTACCTTGATCTTAGAAGGTGAAGGATTAAGGTTTTTCTACTTAGTTTTATTTCATACAACAATTCTTCTTCATATGCTTCCTATAAAACAAGATCTGTCATGGAACTTCATACTTGCTTCTTTAGTGCCTGCTGGGGTGGGCGGTGCTATTGCAGCAGAAGGACCTTGCCCACCCTGCACATCCTCACCAGTTCTTTCGAGAATAAATATGAATAAAATGGAATTTAAAGTAAGCTAGTATTATAAGGAGGAAGTTTACTCAAGTTCTCCCTCATATGTGGACATTAGATCAAGGGCAAACACAACAGTGGGATTGGACTATGAGCACATGATAAAAGCGAGAGCACACAGGGGAGGGGTGAGGATAGGTAAGACACCTAAAAAATTAGCTAGCATTTGTTGCCCTTAACGCAGAGAAACTAAACAGATACCTTAAAAGCAACTGAGGCCAATAGGAAAAGGGGACCAGGAACTAGAGAAAAGGTTAGATCAAAAAGAATTAACCTAGAAGATAACACACACTCACAGGAAATTAATGTGAGTCAACGCCCTGTATAGCTATCCTTATCTCAACCAGCAAAAACCCTTGTTCCTTCCTATTATTGCTTATACTCTCGCTACAACAAGATTAGAAATAAGGGCAAAATAGTTTCTGCTGGGTATTGAGGGGGTGGGGGGGAGAGGGAGTGGGCGGAGTGGGTGGTAAGGGAGGGGGTGGGGGCACGGGGAGAAATGAACCAAGCCTTGTATGCACATATGAATAATAAAAGAAAAAAAAATTTTAAGTGGGCACGGGGCATGTGTGTGTGTGTGTGTGTGTGTGTGTGTGTGTGTGTAACGTGAAGGATGCCTGTGGGGTCAGTTGGAGAGTCGAGTAGCACGTAATAAAAAAAAAAAAATGGAATTTAAAGTAAGCTAGTATTATAAGGAGGAAGTTTACTCAAGTTATTTTTTAATTAAAATTTTCAAAGGGCTTTTATTTTTCAGTAATAAAATGAAATGAAAAATGCATATTGACCCCTCATCCACAAATTACTATATACACATTGTTTATATAGTAAACAATTTTATGTGTACTGTTTTGTAATCTCCACTTTCACTCAATAAATCTTGACCATCTTCTATTCTCATAAGTGTTCTTTTTATGAGAGTCTTTTATTATCATTAATAAGTCTTTTACGACTTCAAAGCACAATGTGCAATCTGGTTGTAGGTGTTCATGATAGCTAGAGTTTCACTGTCAACAAGATGGGAAAATGGATTGATATTGACATGATATCCTGAAGAAACAAAGTGCAAATTCAGATCTTCACTAACACAATTTATGGCAGCTCCTGCATGAATAGTACCACCAGTCATACCTATTACTGGTGAATTTCCTTCTTACCAGGAACAAATATTATCATCAATAAGTCTTTCAATGAAATGATAACTTACTGTGACACTCTGTTTTCTTTGCTAACCATTGGCATTGATATCTTAGTGTATTTAGTTCTTGTGGCTTTTATATGAATTCCTGATTCATGTCTTTTCACCACTTCCTTCTGTGTTATCTCATTTCTTTATGATTCATAAAAATTTTATAGTTTGCTGTTTACAGTTGCTGGTCACATGTCCTGCACATTTCTCTTCATTGTTCATTTATTTGACAGCTGTTACTTCAAGCATACTGGTAGTAATGACAATTGATTGGTACACAAGTTGGAGGTCTCTGGCTTCATAGAAGCTCCAGCTTGGCAAAGAAGAAAACCAAATAACCAAGTAATTGACAAGTATAATAATAGGAGAAATACAAGTGCTCTGCCAGAAGTGTAGAAAGGAGGAGTTGGAGGAGGGGACAGTACCTGTAAAGTCCCCAAGGTAGGAGGAGCGTGGCATTGAGGAGTAGGGAGAAGTTGAACAATGCAAGGAAAAGGTGAAAAAAGGAGCTAAGTAAGCACAGCCTAGCAAGTCAAGGATTTAGACTTTTTCCAAAGAGAGAACAGAATCAAAAGGCTTAGGAGAAATATGCAGAGATAAGCAAGGTATTTTAGAGAGGTTACTTAGTACAAATAATGGGTCTGCAAAAAAAACAAATAGTATTGTGCACCTTGGACAAGGAAGTCACTTAGAGGTTGGAGATGGGATGCAGGAAATTTAAGGAAATATTTATATATGAGAATCTATTTCGCGATTGATGGGGTGGCACCCAAGAGAAGTGAGGAATGAGCCCATGTTTGTGGTTTAATTTGTTTAGCTGTGCCACTTCCGTAAGAGGCTCTGAAAAGAGGTAACATTTAGGTGTGGAGAGGGGAGTTTTGTATTTGTTGACTGTGAGATGTGCAGAGTTAGGGTTTTTTTGATTGTAAGTTTAACAATGAGGTGTTCATCATAAAGACACAAAATTCTTGGATGTGCAGGTAAGAAAATAGGTGCTTGATTAAATAATAGGGATTGAGTCAAATACATCAACATTACCAGCTATGTGTAGGTGTTTGTGCTCAGGTGTGTGTTGTGTGTATGTGTGCATGTGTAACATTGGGACCTTTGAATATTTGAGTATAGATTTTATATTAACTAGTATTAAGAAATTAATGGTAATACTGTATATTTCTAATCTTATCACTGATATTTTTTAAATAAACCTGCTTTCATTTTTATTTTAGAATTTATTTAGACTTGCAGAATGCTTAGAAAGTCAGTACTGAGTTTCCATACACTCTGCACCCAGGCTTCAATATTGTTAGCATCTTATATTACCAAAGTTTATTTCTCACAGTAACAAACCAGGAGTGATCTATTACTGATAAAGTCCATATTTATCCATATTTCCTTAGGGATTACCTAATGTCCTTTTACACTTTCAATCTCATCCCAATTCCACATTAGCCTTACTGTAGTGTCTCCTTCAGGTGGGATCTGTGCACCACTGCTGGAGAAGGGAATGTCTATAGAAATTATTTGACTCTTGTGGATGGGAGCTTTGACTATCCTCAAACATTTATTTACTTATTCAATCATTAATTATGTCAGTATGGGCATTTGGGTCTGAATATATATTTCATATTCTAGTATAAGGTCAGATTATTTATTTGTAATTGAAATTGTCCCAGGTTTGGCTCTTGGGAGTTCTTTTTGTCAATTCCTGAGTTCTTTTGATATGCCCCATCAATGTGAATTTGGAGTTTACTTGGATTTTTATTTTGGGGACACTTCCTAGCACTACAAGAAGCTCTTGTCTCATCTTGTGTATTTCCTGTCCCCATCCAGGCTCATTTGTAGATTCATAATGGGACTTTTAATATCAGTCTTGACTAAATCTTAAGACAATATCTACAAGAAGAGTCCACCTACTAACCTCCTGAAGGGTCATTTACCCCTGAGCACATACTGTAGACTGAATGAGAGAAAAGTTCAGAGTCCTCTCTTCCTATTTGCTTCTGGTTGGAGCCAGAGGCAGCCTTCTGCAGGCCTGTGTAACAATACTATGTCTTATTTATTAAATCAAAGCTTATACCGGTATGTCAAAATCGTGGGTGTATCCAAGATCTCTCTTGTGAATCAGAGGAAGTCTTTTAGGATGTATCAGTTCTTGACCCTCAACTCCAAGGATTATCTTTTCTAAAAAAGAAAAGAAAAATTCATCCAATACCAACATTCATCCACAGTGACTGGAATCGAGAATTGTTCTCACACAGTTCACGTGATTCCTGTTGCAGCCCCATTTGTACACATCTCTTTCTCATTTTAAAGGCAAGGACACTGAGGGGATATTTACAAATTGGAAACATATAAACAAAACTGTTAAGAGGGCAAAGACAGAGTATCTCTTGTCTTCTTCTATACTTTCACCTTGTTCTGCAGTTGTCACCTTTGTCATTTTATTCCTTCATGCCAGTGTCTGAGTTATGCCTCCTGCAAAGCCTGCACTGAGTGGCCTATTTCAACATAAACCACCATCTTTTTTTCCTTTAAGGAAAATTTGCATTTGAAGTCTCAGCTCCCATTGATAAGTATAAGGCTTTCACTTGTTAGAGAATTTTAGAGAGTCCCATGTTTGTGCTAAATATTATTTGTTTCCTGTCACACACACAGCTGTGGGTGATCCCAGATCTTAGACAGCAATGAAGAGGAAAGCGCCCAGGCTTTGGGGGATATGCGCCAATTCGAATCCAGGTTTAACCGGTTTATCAGCTGAGTGGCTATGGTTAGCAAATCTAATCTCTTTGGTCTTCAAATATGAGTCTCATTTTCCTTACCTGTAAAGTGGAGATAGTAGTATTGGCTTCTGAACATCCTGTGGCACAAAGTGGCTAATGGCTAGCACACTGCCTGCCATATTGTCAGTATTTAATAAGGTCTATTCCTTCCCTCTCACTATGTGTGGAGTGCTGAAGAGTGATAGGGTATTTCACAGAATCACCAAATGTCATGATTAGTTATAACCTAGTCCAAGCCCTACGCTATGTTCTCAACAGAATCACCAATGTATAATTAATGTTTTATCATATACAATTTGAACCTTGTTGCGAATGACATTATGTTCCAGCCTAATAAGAAAACCTTGATAAAAAGAGAAAGACATACCTTTAGTCTGAGAAATGAGTAAAATCGTCAATAATATACACCCGGGAGACATTCTGAATGTCTGGTAGAAGAGGGACACAGACACTTGAGCAAAGCTGTGTTCCACTATCAGTGGTTCTGCTACAAGGATGAAGAATCTGGCAAAGAGATGGGCAGTTTTGATCCAGCACAAGGAAATGCTCCTACATCCAGGTACACAACTTGCTCAGTGCTTGAGGCTAAACTTGGGGGTTGGATATCATGTACCAATTAAAGACAACCATGAGGCGGTGGTGGTGGCGGTGGAGGTGGGTTTGGCATAGATTCCTACTTCTACTCGGCTACTATAAATATTATTTGAGATGTTATTAAAGCTTCAAAAGTGAAAAGTCAAAAATACCTTAAAAAATTGCAGAATATTTAGAATATGCTTGGATTGAAGAAACTGAAGTCCTTGCTATATAGAACACATGTAAAAGCCATAAAGGAACATTTGATAAAATAAGACAGGTTAAATTGAAATTTTATAGATGCCATAATCATATATTAATTAAAAGTGAAAGACAAACAATAACTCCAGAAATGTATACAACATACGTAATGAAAGGTGGGAGTAAGTATATTTACTATACAGCACTGTTTCAAATTAATACAAAAATAAATACTAATAGACAAATATACAAAGGCCAGGGACAAACCTATTTCTTTGCGTTCTCATGTGGTGTCATTACAACAGTAGAAGAAATGTTCCACTGCCCATATGATCCCTTTGTCTACAAGGCACAATCTGTTATCTTCCCCAGCTCACGATTTTTCTCTAAAATTTCCAGAAACTAAAGGAATCTATGTCACCCAGGAGCTTCCTTGTGCTGCTTAAACAAGCTCAAGACTCCCTTTTGAAAAATCCTACTTTCAATCCTGTATTTCATGTGCTCCTACTATATCACTTTTTTTTTTTTGTCAATTCCTTAAGCTAAACCTCTTGTAAGGTTGACCTTGACTGCTTGTGGCAATTTTCTGACTTCCAACTCATCCTGACACATTCTAGTTATGATACCTGCCTTTGTTATGTTATTGAAATAGTGGACTAATGTTTCCAGTGACTTAATTGTTTCTGTATCAATGGATATTTTGATTCCTCATCTTGCCCTCTTAATATCTGGTACTGATGCCCACACACTATCCATAAAATATTCTGTTTAGCTCCCTTGACATAGTCTTCTTAATTTTTTGCTAGCTCTTTGGCAACTTGTAGACATATCCTCTTCCAACCAGCCCTTACATCTTGAAGTTCTTTGAGGTGTTTTCCTATACCCTCTTTTCTTCTATGTTTGCTTCAAAACCATCTCATCTTCAGTTACTGTTTAATTATCTCTATCTGATTTTATGTTTCCAGCCATATGAGCAAGAGACCTTCACAGACAACTTTCTATGCAACCTTTTCATTGGGAAGACGCAAAGCTTCTGCAAGCTCCCTGCAGAAAGAATAAAGTACTTCCTCCCTGCAATTTGTTCTCTGCCTCAGCTAACGATGCCACAATCCATGTAGCATTGCAGCTCTGGAAGTCACTATTGTAATTGCATCCCTCATAATCAATTCATCATCTAGTTTGTTTATTTTACCTCCCAAAAGCATACTGTCTACCTCCTTCCAACTTTTCTGCTTACATCTTAGTCCAAATTACCCAAGATTCTCTTTGGTCACACTCTACCAAGTGAAATCTTTTTGAAATGTAAATCTGGTCATGTCGTGTGTCAGGTAAAAATGCTTCCATCGTTTTTTTACTGGTCTCAGAAAAAGTCTCACTTGTCTTTAAATTCCCCAAAGCTAAATTCTTGTCACTCATTAACTCTATAGCATTGGGCAAGCTATGAAACAGTTCTTACCTACCAAATGGGTGTGATAGAGATGGCATGATTAGAAAATGAATCTGTGCTGACAAGCAATCTTCTCTTCTCTGATTCATGCACTCTCTATCTCTTAATTGGCCCTTTTGTATCTTTCTTCTCTCCTTGACCCTCTAAATAGCTTCTTCTTTAGTCTTATCTGATCTCTTTGCTGTCTAATCACTAAGAAAAAAATAAGCCATCAGGAGAACTCTCAAGTTCATCCACATGTGTTCCATCATAGATTAGCTCTGTCTTGTTCTGTGGGTGTCGGATATGTGG